GTCTTGGTTTTTTCCCTCGAAAACGTTTTGCTTCTCGTCCAAGAAAAATGAGAACAAAATGTTTTCAAGGAGAATTTTTTTTAAAAAATCAAGAAAGTCCAGTTGCTTTTTGGAAAATGCTCTTTTGGGAGAAACCATGGTTGGGGACACGTCACCTGGATGACGGAGAATCTCCGTAGACATTAAGCTGTGGTTTGTCAAAAAAGGGGGATCTGGCTTGTCCCTGGCATGGATTCCTGTTATGAATGACAGGACATTGATTGACACCAGCAGCATCAGACTCAACCAAGCTCACCTTTGCCTGTGGGAATAAAACTCTTTTACGTTGGCCTGAGCTTACAGGATATTACAATTAGACTGAACGAAGGAGGCTCAGATGAATTCCAAGCTGGCAGACTTTGGGGGGAGTTAATTAATCTGCAGCCCTGCTTCTAAACCTTAGTGTGTAGAATTAGAATGGCAGAGTTGGAAGGGACCTTGGAGGTCATCTAGTCCAACCACACACACACACCGCCCAAGCAGGAGACCCTACCTGCACCATTTTCGACGGATGGCAGTCCAGTCTCTTCTTATAAACCTCCAGGGATGAAGCAACGAGAACTTCTGAAGGAGAATAGAATAGAATAGAATAGAATAGAATAGAATAGAATAGAATAGAATAGAATAGAATAGAACAACAGAACAGAACAGAACAGAACAGAACAGAACAGAATAGAATAGAATAGAATAGAATAGAATAGAATAGAATAGAATAGAATAGAATATATGTAATGGAATAGAATGGAATGAAATAATAGAATAGGATAGGATAGAATAGAATTAGAATAGAATAGAATAGAATAGAATAGAATAGAATAGATGGAATGGAATGGAATAGAATAGAATAGAATGGAATGGAATGGAATGGAACGGAACGGAACGGAACAGAATATATGTAATGGAACAGAATGGAATGGAATGAAATAATAGAATAGAATGGAATGGAATGGAATAGAATAGAATAGAATAGAATAGAATAGAATAGAATAGAATAGAATAGAATAGAATAGATGGAATGGAATAGAATGGAATGGAATGGAATGGAACGGAACGGAACGGAACAGAACAGAACAGAACAGAATATATGTAATGGAACAGAATGGAATGGAATGAAATAATAGAATAGAATAGAATAGAATAGAATAGAATAGAATAGAATAGAATAGAATAGAATAGAATAGAATAGAATAGAATAGAATAGATGGAATGGAATGGAATAGAATAGAATAGAATAGAATAGAATAGAATAGAATAGAATAGAATAGAATAGAATAGAATAGATGGAATGGAATGGAATAGAATAGAATGGAATGGAACGGAACGGAACAGAACAGAACAGAATATATGTAATGGAACAGAATGGAATGGAATGAAATAATAGAATAGAATAGAATAGAATAGAATAGAATAGAATAGAATAGAATAGAATAGAATAGAATAGAATAGAATAGAATAGAATATATGGAATGGAATGGAATGGAATAGAATAGAACAGAATAGAATAGACTGGCTGAGGAATTCTGAGAGTTGAAGTCACAAGTCATAAAGGACCAAGATTGAAGGCCCCTGCCTTAAAGTCCGCTATGACTAGTGTAGCAAAACCCGCAGGACTGCTCTTGGCGAATAAACCAAATCTTAAAGAGAGTTTGGTTGCCTGTTCCTAACCCTACCTCACTGTGGTGTCCCCCTTCTGCATTTCTGCAGACATATGCCTGTCGCAACCATCATTGATACGGTGGTATAAATCATCGTTCCTACGGTGGTATCATCCAGCCAATATTTTACCATGTTGTGCCAAAAAATATCCTGAGGCGCTCTGCAAAATGTGTTGCAGTATTCTGCTTATTTAATAAGCTCGTAACTCTGTCAAACGAGGAGAAAAGATTAGTTTGGCACAAATTGTTTTGGCAAACCCTAGCCCTAACTCTAGTCAAGCTGCTGTTGGTGTACCTATTCAACTGTTCATAAATACATTGATTGAGAACCTGGCACAGTACAGACATCAAGCTGATAGGTCTACAGCAGGGGTCTTCAAACTTGGCCCTTTTATGACTTGTGGACTTCAACTCCCAGAATTCCTCAGCCAGGCACACGTGCCTGGCTGAGGAATTCTGGGAGTTGAAGTCCACAAGTCATAAAAGGGCCAAGTTTGAAGACCCCTGGTCTACAGTTTCCTCTCCAGGAGGACTCAAAGATTACTTAAAGGTAGTTCTGTCATCACTCCTTTAGTTCCTTCACTACTCTAGGATGCCATGCAACTGGCCCTAGAAAAGTCATTCATGCCAATTAGTTACATTCTCTTACTCCATCCTCAAGTATCCTCAGCAGCAGGTCTAATCAACTAATCCAGGAGAGAACCAACCTAGAACTAAGGAGACATTTCCTAACAATGAGAACAATTAATCAGTGGAACAACCTGCCTCCAGAAGTTGTGGGTGCTCCATCACTGGAGGGTTTTTTTTAGAAGAGACTGGACAACCATTTGTCTGAAATAGTATAAGGTCTCCTGCTTGAGCAGGGGGTTGGTTTAGACCAGGGCTTTTCAACCAGTGGTAGAGGTACCACTTGTGGTACATTGACACCTGGCAGGTGGTACGCGACCATCCTAGAAAAGGGGTAGCGAGGGAGGGGAATGAGCTGAACCGGTGGCAGCACCGCACAAACCTGAGCGAGAGACGGCTGGAGCTGCAGGGCTGTCAGGGCTCAGCGCCAGCACTAGAATCAGCGCCAGGATCCAGTTGGAGCTCAGAGCTGATCCTGGTGCTTCTGCTGAGCCCTGAAGAAGCACCGATCAGCTGGAATGTTGCAGCCTCTCCAGGGTCTTGTGATTTACATTCAGATGCTTGGCAACTGATTCATATTTATGACGGTCACAGTGTCCCAGGGGCATGTGAAGTGACCAAAACCTGCTGCAACCACCCAGCAGACGGGGGGGAATAAAAACCAAACACCCCCCCACCCCACCCCCGCTGCCAATCCTCAACAGAAATGCTCACAACAATGAAAACCTTGGACAGGAGGAAGAGCGCCGCCGGGTGGGCAGGCAGGTGTCTTGCTCGGCTGTGGCTTGGAAGGCACTTTTTTCAGTGCCGTTGTAACTTCGAACACTCACTAAGCGAACTGTTGTAAGTCGAGGACTACCTGTACTTTATCACTTTTTTCCTTTTTTTTTTCCTTTGGTCATCAAGTTTTTGACACCTTGCTAGGCGACTGGTGGTACTCGGATGTTGCCATATCCTAAAAGTGGTACAATGGGTGAAAAGGTTGAAAAGCCCTGGACTAGGTGACCTCCAAGGTCCCTTTCCACTCTTGTTATTCTGATTTCTTTCCTCCAGGCATAACAATGACCAACTAGGGTTCCACCATTCGTCTGAAGGAGGAAAAGGCAGACACAAAATAAGAATTATGGAGTTCTAGCTTCTGGCCATGCCCACTTCCAGTGCCCCTACTTCCTCTTTGGCTATCTTTTTTATTTTTAACCATATCTGAAGGTCTGACCACTATGAGCTCGGCCTTAGGAACTTCTAAACTAGTTGATGGCAACAGACTTTCTACCTTTAAAGCCAATCCTGAAATCCCCCGTTATTCAAAACTTCAATGCTCTTTTATGCACAAGATGGAACGCAGGTTCTGCCATTGTCCCTGGTGGATATTATCAACAGAGGAACTCAGAATATCGTCAAGGGTCCCAGACGTGTGTTACTATTTCTGAAGATGCTCCGCTGGGAAGTTCTGCAATGACAATGAGTCCTCAAGGGGACCGACCCAATTGCATCCTGTCTTGCATTCTTCTATCTAGACCAGTGGTGGCGAACCCATGGCACGGGTGCCAGAGGCGGCACCCAGAGCCCTCTCTGTGGGCACGCGCGCCCTCGCCCCAGTCCTAGGCCTTCAGCTGGGTTTTATAAAACTTTTTCGCTTTAGGCCTCCGCCGCCGTGCGCAAAAAAAAAAAAAAAAAAAGTTCAATCAATCAGTCAATTTCAACTTCTCGCGGGGAAAAAAAAAGATCTTGCAAAGTTGGAATTGATTGATTGAAGTTTTTAGTCCCACCCAGTCTGCCGTTACCACCGCAGCCACGCCCACCCAATGGGCCACACCCAGCCAATAGGCCACACCCAGCCAATGGGCCACACCCACCCGGCACCCAACGATGCATAAGTGGGTTTTGGGTTGCAGTTTGGGCACTCGGTCTCTAAAAGGTTCACCATCACTGATCTAGATGGTAAGCACTTTCCCATTTGGATCCACTACTATCAACAACCCTAATCCAATTCCGCTGGAAGTTACTTTGTGATATGGGGCAATTTGGCCATCTGTCAGCCTTACCAAGTAAAGCAAATAATAATAATAATAATAATAATAATAATAATAATAATAATAATAATAATAATAATAATGGTGATGATGATGATGATAATAATAATAATAATAATAATAACCCTATATACCATTTTCTCTCCCTCTTTAAGTTATAATAGTAATAATAAAGTTGGAAGGGACCTTGGAGGCCATCTAGCCCAACCCCCTGCTCAGGCAGGAAAGCCTATACCAGGGGTCTTCAAACTTCG